ATTCAGATTATGAATAATAAATTGTTTCCCTTTAATAAAAATGTTTACTTTAAAATAAAATTAGTTTTATTTGATCGACTTCAACAAAATTACTATTTCAGTCTGCGCAAAAAGGGTATAACTCTGGGGTATAAGTACAGCTGGTTCCAAAAAAAATGAATACGACTCCTTACACATTTTTTCGAATATTTGGGCAGTGTCAAGGGGCAGTGTATATTTATGTGGCAAGTATTTTGACATGTTAAGGTTATTTTGACATTGTATAAAGCAACTTTGCTTTTGGCAAAGTGAAAATAGAGAAATGGGGGACTGGTATCATAGAATATACTGCCCGAAATAATAAAAATATGTTTTAAATCGTATTCAATTTTATTGGAACCAGCTGTACATCAAATTCAAAATTTTGTCTAAACCAATTTTTATTTCAAAATTTTACTTTATTGATTGGATTTGTACTTATTTTTGTTAGTCACACGCTTTAACAACAAAAATATTTTTATTTCGTAGAATTTTCAAAAAGCAATTGACTTTAAACTGTGATTACTCAAAATTATATATTCTGCACTTATACCCATCTTATACCCTTTTTGCTCTAACCCCTTCTATTAATATCTGGCAACACTCTATACAAGAAACTGGCAACCAGGGGGGTGACAGTAAACCGGAAAAATTCAGGGGGTGACAGTGAAATAGGAAAAATTAAACAGTCATTAGTGTCATTCCTGTCATCTCCTGACGACAAGTATGGCCGCCTAGACAAGGACAGCAATGTTTCTGTCTAACTATTGTCTAACTTCACAGTTTAGAATTGACAGATTTCACTTCAGAGACAACTTCAGATTTGTTCTAGAACAAATGGAACAAATTTCGACGCCATTTTAAATTCTCTCCGTGTAGTTTTGTTTTGTAAATTCATTTTGATATTTCGGCAGAAATTTATAAATATAAAGGTAATAAAGCATATAAAATATATGTTACATGAAAAATCCTGGAGAAAAAGACTGCAGTACTAGGTATGTCCCATGTATATTAAAAATACGTAGTAAATAAACACTATTTCTGTATTTTTTAGATGCAAGAAAATTTTGTTATGTTTATGATAGGCGATTTTTTTGAAAATGGAAACAATTTACAGCAAGGTAAGATCATTTTTAACTATAGCCAACATTAGTTATCTCCAGTATGTGCGATTTATTGTCAATAATAAATCTGACTCATACAATCTGATAGTTATCCGACTAAAAGTCTCTTTTTTATTTATAAACCAGGTCTCTTTGGGAATAATGGACCCTTTTTTAAACAGTATATTTATATTTTATACCTATTGATATTTTTACATTGTTAATTTTAGTATAAAAAATGTGTTTTTCTGTTTTCAGGTTTTTGTATAAGGCTTCCGTTTTCATGTTCTTGCCCCAGTTTTCTGTCCCTGATGGCTGTGAATACGTGTATGTATTTACAAATTACTGTAAGTCATGCTTATACCTTACTAATTTACGTTAAAATTGCATATAATTAAGTAATTGCTGTAGAAATCATTCAATTCTTTATTTTTTATATTTATTTAGTCACGTTGTGTCATATTTCAAATAAATATGTTTGAATAATATTTTGTTTTGTTTTATTTATGATAAGAAAGAGTATAAAATACATTTAAACTGAAAAAGGGCCCGCCATTGAATAACCGGAAACGGAAATAAAAATGAAGCCATCATGTCCACCTGTCAATTGGAAAATTAGTTCTCCAGACGACAACGAAGGCTTTTGGTGGCGTATCGTGTTTCCACGATTTAACACAGAGTTGACACTTCTTTCTAGTTAGTTATTTTATGGGAAAATTGGAAACAGTTCTGGCGCGGTCCTACCCAGGCAGCATGGAAAGCATGGCCTTCTAAACTGTCCTAGACAAAAATCTGAATATTTCTATATGATTTCTGTCAATTTCTTTACCCAGGCAGCCACGCTGTTTCCATAATTTAACATTGACTTGACACTTCTTCTTGTATTTATTATTTTATGCTGGCAACTATGGAGTGTAGAGGTAAGGAGAAATAACTCTTATGGGACTTTTTATTGAAAAAGTGGTCACAAAATGGGAAGAATAAGGGTTCGCTAAATGACCACAGTGGCGCTAAAACGCATAAATCTAAAAAATGAAAAGTAACCATAGATAAGAGAATAAAATAAATATAACCAACATTACCCAAAAAAAGTTTTGTTTTTATTTTTTAGAATATTAAATAATTATTGTTTATCAATATTTTGTGCTTTATTTATTATTTAACAATGGTTAAAGTGTGTGTGGTGCGAAGTTGATTGAATAGCTGATGGAAAAATAAAGAGCAAAGGCAAAGCCTACGGTATGTAAAATACATAATATAATTCAGTATTGTATTATTTGTATTATATGCAAAAATTAGAGTCAATCAAAAGTGTAGTAAACATTTTTCGTAAGATTATTGACATACATGTTACAAAGTATATTTTTACAATCCTTTTTATAAAGTTACAACCTGAATAAAATTTATTATTAATGATTTTAAAGTTTGACAGACATGCACAAATTGTTGGCATTTTTTTAAACAAGTAAAAGTAGGAAATAAATAAAATTGTAGGTACTTTCAAGAACTAGTTAACTGTAAGTGCTGTATTTTAATAATCTATCAAAATCAAAATCATTAGGATAATAGACATGATGATAATTGACATGAGGTATTGATTTTCAGACAAGAATTACATTACAGCGATGGTCAAAAGCATTTAGATATTGCTTTGAAATCTACAGATAAGGTTTCATTTTAAAGAACAAGATGTTAAAGTTTATGATAAAATTGTCATCAGAAATACAGTCCACTTGCAGTATTTACATAGGAAAATATTGGAGGATGAAGTTCTACCTACTGCCTCAAGTTAATTTAAATTCTGAGTTGCAACAAGCAAGAAGGGCACCATTAAATGAATATTATACCCATAAGTATTATTATACACACAAAAAGTAATGTTATACACATAAATAATAACATTTTGTAGAGCAACAACAGAATAAAAAACCAAAATATGAACAACAGCAACTAAAACAGGAACCATTAAATGAGAGCAACAACAGAATAAAAAAGTACAATTTGATCGAATAAAAAACGGCGTCAGCGATGCCTATGAAATGAAGATTGCTGTCATTTTATATGTAAAATGATATGGAGAATGTCATCGAGATGTTCATTTCCAAGCCCACTGGACGCCGTGTTTTTTCGATCATACAGTATTATTATACACATAAATAATAATATTATACACATAAACATCCCTTGATAAAGATCAACATTTTGTAGAGCAATAACAGCATCAAATAATGGAAATAATGGACCCTACTGCTCAAATCAAAAACAAAATTTCATCATTACCACTTTATTGGTTATATCAATAAAAGAAATTATTGAGTTTATGAGTCTAGATCCTACAAGCAAGCAGATCTATCACATAATTTAAAATGAAGATTTATCTATTATAGTATGTATAAACACTTTGCATCTTTTATTCAATGTTGTAATGAATTAACAAATTGCAGGTAATTTATTCTAATAATGAAAAAGAAACTTTGGATCAAAAAATATTTTCTTCTGATGAGGCTTATGAATATTAAAGTCTGTTGAAGTTTGGCCATTATGTGTTGGTATACAATTTATTTATGATGTTACAGTAGTTAAACCATCCGAATACAAAACATATTTAAAATCCACTATTCTTAATGAACCAACTTGAGAGGAAGCTAAGAGAAAGGTTCTATTGGGTGGACTACAAGAAAAAGGGACATATACATGAGGATCTGGAAGGGCTATAACATTACGTCTCAAGCCATGGAACAATAGGAAACGAAATTCAAAGGAAAATATTACAATACGTGGGATGCAAATTATAGTGCAAAGAATTGAGAAAAAGAATTATTAAAAGTAGTTATAGTTATGATAGTTAAACCATCCGACTACCAAATATATTTAAAATCCACTATTCTGAATGAATAGCAACTACCAACCTGGGAGGAAGCTGCGAGAACGATTCTATTGGGTGAACTACAAGAAAGACATGAGTTATTTCACGTCCCAAGCCATGCAAGCCATGTTGGAATAGCTGGGAGTGAAAAAGAAGATAATACAGCACACAATTCTTGTCTAGAAGTAGTTGATATTAAGGTAGTTAAGCCATCTTATCGAACATTTAAAATCCACTATTCTAAATGAATGGCAACTACGATGGCAAAACGTAAATAAATACTTGTACAGTATAAAATTATATTATATTAGCTTAATTTTTATACTAAATAAAATGTGTTACGTTATTTTTGACCTGCATTATATTTATCTATAAATCCCATATCATCAATTAAACTTTTAATAAAGTTTTCCTAATTATAATTAACATTAATTTTAAACTAAAGCTTTTTTTCATCTTGAATGAAGATTTACGAAATAACTTATGAGAAAAAAATAAAGAGGCTCAGTCTATTGCTTCTGAATAATTGATAATAAAACCACATGTTGACTTACTTTTATACTAAATAGTAGGTATGAAGTTATTTAAAGCTGCATTATATTTATTTTAAACCCATCACCAATTATTACCTTAAATAATTTTTTTTCTTAATTATAATTAACATTAATTTTAAGCTAAAACGATCAGAATAATGTTTTCGTCGTCTTGAATGACATTTGCGAAATAACTTATGAGAGCAATAAAAAAAGAGCCTAGTCTATTGTTGCTGAATAAAAAATCTGTAATTTATTTCATGTGACATAAAAATAAATTTTGTATTTTTGAAACCCGCGGCTTCACGTATATGATTCACGTCAAATATTTATATCTTTTGAATCTGGTTTGAAACAGCCCGCCATTAAAAACCGGAAACGGAAATAAATTTCATAAAATTGAAATTGTCATGTCTATGTCATGTCAAATGTCCCAGCCGCCATATCTGAAAATTAGTTACCCAGGCAGCCACGCTGTTTCCATAATTTAACATTGACTTGACACTTCTTCTTGTATTTATTATTTTATGGTGGCAACCATCTGGCAACTGACAAGAGAGAAGTCGTCAAATGTCAAATGATTTAAAGGTTAAAATTGTTAAAAAAAAACAAAGTTAAAAATTTACTGGTATAATATTCACCGTAAATTAAAGTTTGGAAACTATATTATAACAAATTTTAGGATAAGTATTTTAATTCGCCTGCAGAAAAGTACAATGAGTTAGTTGTATAACGTTGTCTCTGATTATTGGGCATATATTGGACTAGAAATAGGAATATTTCTTCATATTTTTTTTGCATTGAACCTCGAAAACTAAATAACCAAATAAGTAAGCTTATGGGATTTGTGGAAGATGAACTCCTCGAAGTCAAAAAATTATGTGAACATGTTATTCCAAATACAAAACTTGTTTCGTGTGTCCCCACAATGGTTCGGACAGAAATAAAGAAAACGCAGTTTAAACATATTATACTGTGTGCGCAGTTTTCAAAAGAGTATCCTTCATCCCCGTTATTGATAGAATTAAAAAGCAAAACACTATCTGAAAATCTTTTATTACGTCTAACCAGTGTTTGCGAACAAGAATTGAAAAAAATATTGGGTAGGTAGAAAGTATTCCTTACTTACAATTTCATAGCTTAATATCAATTTTTTAGGTAAACCACAAATTCTTCATCTTATAAAATTCATTTGGAAATTTATTGATGAAAATCCTCTTATTTCTTGTTATGATGAAGTAAAATCGTTGAAAAAATCTCTGACAGTTAATGATGAATTGAAGTTAAAGCAAAAATATTCAAATATAATATTAAAAGTATACAACGGTGAATATTATTGGACTTGCAAAATAACAATTCCCAATAATTATCCAATATCATCTGTTGAGTAAGTCTTTTTATTTTTAGTATAAATAAATATACAGGGTGACGCACCTCATTCGCCTCGGTTAATTATACAAAAACCGAAAGATGTAGAAACAAAATATTTAATGGGTATATGTGGGAAGGCAAGCATTTAAAATTATTTTGAAATATGCAAGGTGTATCAAAATAAAGATCCCTAACAAAAGTGATATTTGTTTTAATGGAACACCCAGTATTTTGTTTCATTTTTGGATCCTTGGACATAAAATAAAGCATTTATTATAAGGGTTTAATATGTTTAAAAGCTTTGGCTTTTGAGATATTTAAATATGCATGCTGTAATAATTGTGTGTCAACACCCTGTACTTTACTTTTCAAAATTAATTCTTGTGCTGACTTTTAAGCCAGAGAAATAAACTTTACTAAAAAAATTTGATTTCTTGCTTAAATGTATACAGGGGTATCAAAAATTGCTGGTCTATTTTAAATATTTATTTTACATGAAAATTTCATTATTTCAAATGCAGCAAGCTGTATTTTTTAAAACAAGTTGAAGCAGATTTAAATGCTCTTTCAAACTACATTAGGGTTTCTTATACCGTATGATCGAGAAAAAACGGCGTCAGCGGTGGCTATGAAATGAAGACCGCTGTCATTTTATATGTAAATGTATACGGGAAATGTCATCGGTCGTCATTTCCCAGCCAACTGGACGCCGTTTTTTTTTCGATCATACGGTACTTATCTGTCTCAGATTTTAAATAAAAAGCGATATTTCAATAAAACGAAGAGGGCGGTTGTTGCATTTGAAATAACGAATTTTGGTAATTATTGGGAAAACTGGAACTTGTCCGATTTTCACCAAAATTGGTACAGTACGTCTGTCCGTTCTGAAGCTACGGGGTATCCGTGAGAGGGGAAACGATATTCTCTCGACGTTTTTCGTAAAAAAATGACGACGCGTCCCATCAATAAAAATTCAACAAATTTGCAAGTAGCCAATAAAATGAGTGGGCGGAGCGATTTGCGGTGACGCACTCGTCAAATCGACGTATAAAATATATTGCTGTTTATTTAAATGTTTTTTGTCCGCATTCCTTTCATAGACACAGATTCAGCAGATGTACTGTATACACCCTATTTTGAGGTCGTAGATTATGAATCTGAACTTTTTTTCCTGGCGGTCTCTTACTGTTTTTCAGAAAAACGGAAAATAATTTCAACATTGACTTTTTCTTTATTTCAGCCCTATAAAGTAATAATTTCAATATATTTTCATTATATTATAGTTTATCTAAAACACTTGATTGAGGATCGAAAAATGATCAAAATTTTACTGAAAAACACTTTTCTTAACAAAATAACAAAGAAAATTGAGACCAGATGGAGACTTATATATCTTTCTTTCTCTCTCCTATGTAATGAGAGAGACAAATATATTCTAGATCTAATCTTGAAATTTGAAAATTTGCAACGTTGCCATATCTGGTATTTTTCGGGTGATTAAGGATTTTAAATAAATTATATACCCTGACAATAGTTAAATATTAAATATACCTATATCTTGCCTATATCGACAAAGTTGCGGCGAAAGAGTTTTGATTGCATTGGTTTCAACTATGCTGAGGGGGTTAATCTTTTTTTGTTATATTATATTAAAAAAAGATTAACCCCCTCCGCAAAGAAGTTATACATATAAAGACTATTTATAACCACGAAGTTGCACAAAAGAGTTTTGATTGCATTGGTTTCAACTTCTTTGTGGAGGAGTTTAATCTTTTTTTGATATAATATAACACAAAAAAAGATTAACCCCTCCGCATAGAAGTTGTAACCAATGCAATTAAAACTCTTTGCGGAGGGGTTTAATCTTTGTTTGATATAATATAACAAAAAAGGATTAACCCCCTCCGCATAGAAGTTGTAACCAATGCAATCAAAACTCTTTCGTGCAACTTCGTGGTTATAAATAGTTAGATCTCGTTGGTAAAATAGCAGTTATGGGAAGAAGCAGTTCCTCTGGCGACCGCCTTTCGTAATCCCAGAATGAGCGAAAAAAACGCGCTAAATTTAGGTTTACCATTGACAGAAACGCATAACCCAATATTTTCAGATTGTTTGCAAATTTATTTTAGCAAATTTTCCTCTATTATGCATAGAATTTGTTAAAAAAGTAACAGAAAATAGCAAAAACCTCATTGTTTATTGAATACCTAATGAAATATGTGCTAGAAAACCTTAAAAATGTGAGAAATTAAGAAAAATTCCATGTTAAAATAATTTTTCGTTTTTCTGAAAAACGGTAAGATACCGCCATAAAAAAAAGTTCAGATTCATGATCGACGACCTCAAAAAAGGGTGTATACAAATTTTGGTGAAAATTGGACAATTTCCAGTTTTTCCAATAATTATCCGATTTTTTATGTAAAATAAATATCTAAAATAGATCAACAATTTTTGTACACCCCTATAACTTCATTATTTTTTTAGATAAAAAAACGAGACTTGGTGTATTCGTATATGACATAAATTAGCCATGACATTAGAGATTGAAATTTATAATACGATTTTTTTGTAAGCAAAAATGACAAAAGTTGACATATGATATGTCATTCTATTCAGAGTGTCATTTTCTATCAAATAAAATAAAAAATACCGAGGATCTCATTTAAAAATCAAAAGTTGTAGTTATTTCCGGTGGAACAGGAAATGAACAAAAACAATTGAATATGTCAATCAATCCTTAATTTATGTTATATATTAACATACCAAACCTCGTTTTCCCTTTTCTCTGAAAAAAATGAAAGTTATAGGGGTAAGCCACTTTTGAGACGCACCCGGTATTTATTTTAGCATTCAAGATGTTGATACAAACTTTACTCAAACATTTTATAAACATATGTTGGCACAAGCCAAGGAAATTGCAAGAAAATGTGTTGAACCTCCTTTAAAAAGAAATCCAAAAGATCCTCCTTTTGAACCATCACCATCCTTGGAGAAAACTGCTCTTTTCATTATAGACTGTGTAAAAAGACTGCCAAGTGAAAAATGTCAATTTTGTAATGAAATATGTTTTCAGAAAGATCCCAAGGTCAATTTAATTGTTTATCTTCTGTATTTATTAACTATTAACTTCTTTATTTCAGCTCCTTGAACAAGATGAGAATTCTGCAAGACATATAGAGAGAGTATACTGTGGTCATTTATTTCATCAAGGATGCCTTCTAAAATATATGAGACAACCACCATTTGGTAATAAAAAATGTGTAAAATGCGGCGACAAAATTCATCATTATAAATGGTCTATTACGGATAAAATGGCGGAGACACGATGGGCTCATGAGCAGGCCAGAGAACGAGAGTTACAGGAAGTTACTGAGTTTTTCAAATGAAATAAATATTATTTTAGTTTATTATCTAATAAAAAGTAAGAAAAAACTATTAGATTCTTGATATTAGTGCCAGTCCTTATAGTTGCCCATTAGTGCGAGTCCAAATATTTAGAATTAAAACCTTCCATACCCTTTGAGAAATGAAGCCTTAAAATCTTTAGTGCAATTTCATAAAATTGAATTTTTTTTTTCATAATATTTCAAAAACTGTAAGGTTTAAGTGTAATAAACCTTAATCAAATTTACCTTTATTTCAATCGTAGAATCTAAAAATAGAATAATATGATAATATAATATAACAGGGTGTTCCATTTAAAAAAAAACAACTATAATATTTTTTATTTATTTGGGACACTCTGTATCATGTAAAAATATTTTTAAATTGTAGCTCTCATAAGTCCTTCAATGAATCAAAAACTTACAAGTTGTAAAAATCTAGTCCCTGTTTAGCTACAATACTCCGTGTCGTATGTGGTGAACATTGTGGTGGTATATTAATTGATTTTTAGATTCTAGAAAAAAAAATAAAGGGGAGTTCTATTAGGGAAGTATATGACTGAAATATATAAGGTTTTTGACTTATTTGATATTTTCTAAAAATGAAGAACAATTTTGAAATTTCAGTAAAAGCTACCTAAATTGGAATTTACCCGGTATAACCTAAAATGTAGTTAAAATAACTGGCCCAAAAAGTTATATAGGGTGAGGCCTTTAAAAGAAAGTTACTCCTTTAGTTTAAATGAAACACCTAGGATATTATACCGATACTAGCGTATACCAGCGACTTCGTTCGCGTCGAATTAATCATTTGTAATGGTGATGATAAAGCAAAGCAAGAATTTCCATTAACATAAAAACTGGATAAAATTTTCTCACATTTATGTCAGCATGAGAAAAAACAATATGGCGATATTATTATATAACTTGGTAATATTTGAGGGGTAGTTTCATCCCGATGGAATTTGACTTTCGAAAAATCCGTTTGCCAAAAATAAGTTTTTTACATCAAGCAGTTTAAGCAGAATCGTGGTTAAGAAATTACCCAACTTTGTGGAACACCCTGTATGATTTTTTAAAAATTTTCAAAATATTTAAAAAACCAAATAAATTATGCTTGCCCAAGCGTTTTCTCGAAAGACTAACCGTTTTTTAAATAACAAATATTGTAATATTTGAGGGGCGTTTTCACCCTCTTGGAATTTGAGATTCGAGAAACCCCTTCTTATCGAACCTCTACACCTCACAGTCAATCCGTTTGCCAAAAATCAGCTTTAAACATCAAGCAGTTTAAGCAGAATCGTGATTACTCAATGGTCATATTTTATGAAACACCCTGTATAAATTTATAAAAAATCTTAAAATATGTAAAACAACAAAATAAAATATACGTGTTTAAGAGTTTTTCCGAAAAACTCACCGGTTTTTAAATAAAAAATATTTTAATATTTGAGGGATAGTTTCACCGATTCGAGTTTCGAACAATCCCTTCTTATCAAACCTCTACACCCTAAAGTCAATCTGTTTTCCAAAAATCAGCTTTTTACGTCAAGCGCTTTAAGCAGGATCGAGATTAATCAATGACCAGATTTTTCGAAACACCCTGTATATATTTTTAAAAAATCTTAAAATGTGTAAAAAAAACAAAATAAAATATACGTGTTTAAGGTTTTTTTCGGAAACTTGACCGTTTTTTAAATAAAAAATATTGTAATATTTGAGGGGTAGTTTCACCCTCTTGGAACTTCCCCTAGGAGATGCAAGACCTTGTCGTTGGTGGGGAAGCTCCTGGTCAGGTGCTGAGGGGAATCACCTCTAGCACTTTGGCTTGGTCTAAGAAGCATCTCACTCATTGTCTTGTTTGGCTGTAGTGTCGTGGCCAGGGAATTGCACCAAGACATTTAACCAGGCACCTTCTACTGTCTGTGGAAACCGCCCGGAGCAAGAGGAGACAACCTCACCAAAAAACCTAAATCCTACGATGGTGGGACCAGGTCAAAGGGATGCGTGGCTAGATAGAGACTAGCCTCTACTGGTCTCAACCTTGGGGCACCAGGGGGCACCCCATTGTTGTATTTACCTCTTACTTCTACATGCGGGGCTCTGTAGAAGTGGACTGACTAACCCTAGCTACTCGTGGGAACACTATGAGATCAAACAATCATAAAAACACCACCGGTGAAGCTGTGGGGAAACCCCCTAGTAACACTGGGAACATTATGAAAGAAAGTTCCAAAGGCTCAATCCCAAAGGGAACTACAGGAGAGGCGGCTGACACTTGTGCGAGGCCAGCCTCCACAAGTGGTACACAAGCTACCACCTCTTCTAGTAAGGGTCGGGAGTCGACCTCTAGACCCAACAAGCGACACCAGCTACCGTTCCGTCTACCCGGCTTGGGTCAACCAGGCGGGTTAGACGATCCGCTAAAGTAGGTCTTAGCGGGCACAAACACTGGGAGATACCTCCGACTGCTCCACGAAGGACTTGCTCCGGAGGAAGCAAAAGCCAAAACTCTCCTTGAAAGGAACCAAGAAACAACCTGGCGCCTTTCCACCAAAGGGGGCAAGAGAAGGAAAGCGAAAACCTCTCCCTTTGCTCCGACAAGGAGAGAAAAAAGCCAGGATGGAAAGCCGTCCCACACCGAGAGGCAAGCAGGGACGTATCACTAGCTATGCCGCTATTGCTGGACAAGTGAAAATTGCGGTGCTGCCAAAGGAATATCCGGAGGTTGTACTGACTACCGACCAGCAAACGGCTCTAGAAGAGTACTGGACGAAGTAGTAGCGAGCGCATTGCGACGCAACGATCCACAAAGTGTGGGTCAGCTGCGTTTTGCGGGGATACACTTTAGGGGGGCATGATCCTCATAGATTGTGCATCTGAAAAATCGGCGGATTGGTTGGTGGAAACGGCACCTAAGCTTAAAAATTGGCAGGGGCCGGGACTGGTTGCAATGAGGGGAGAAAACATCCCTAAAGGGACAACCATCACGGTCTTTCTGCCAAGAAGCAAGGGGAAAGACACCACCTACCTGCTAGACCTTATCCAAGCTCAGAACGAGAATGTGAGTACATCGAGCTGGCTGAAAGGGTTTATATCCGGAGGAGGTTGATGACCACTCCTCGGAGGAGGAACATCTGTTGTCAGGGGGATGGGAAATACCCTGTCCTCCCTACAACAGGGGGATCCTTACCTACCCCAGAAACCTGATGCATGGGATATCCCAAATAAACCTGCACCATGCAAAAGGGTCTTCCGCCACAATCACAAGACTCTTTGAGAAAAAACAATATGTAATGGTACTAGCCCAGGAACCCTGGGTGTACCAGGGACAAATTAAAGGGTTGTCTGGAAAAAATTCCAGTGTAATATATGATAACAGGCAAGAATTTCCCCGAGCCTGTATTTTTATAAGAAACAACATTAACTACACATGTGTTTCAGAATTTACAACCCGAGATCTTGTTCCAATCATGGTTCAACTTAATATCGAGGATTGTAGCAAAAATATCGTGATTGCCTCTGCATACTTTCCGGGTGATGGGCAGACACCGCCTCCGGAAGTAGAGGAGCTCGTGCGATTCTGCAGCCAACGGCGACTACCTCTGCTATTGGGATGTGACTCCAATACGCACAATGAGGTATGGGGAAGCACTAATACTAACACTAGAGGTGAGTGTTTACTAGAATTCCTCTTAGCATACAATGTTGAAGTTCTCAATATAGGGAACACCCCCACGTTTGTGACAAAAACGCGGGCGGAAGTATTAAATTTAACAATCGGGAGTGCTAGTGTAACTAGTTACGTGAAAGATTGGAGGGTTTCAACGGAACCTTCCCTATCAGATCACAGAATCATCGAGTTCAAATTAGGAGGAATCATACTCCAAACTGAAATTCGAAGGGGGAATCCAAGAAAAACCGATTGGGAACTATACCACACCAAGCTCGTAGACAACCTGGACCAAATAGATGCAGGTAGGGCTAGGAACCACCTGTATCTAGAATGGTACGCAAAGGAAGTCAGTGGTGCAATATTGGATGCATATGAATCTAGTTGCCCCACAAGTAAGGGCATACAAAAAAGTAACAACAATCCCTGGTGGAACAAAAAGCTAGACAATCTTAGATCGGAGGTTCGACGACTCTTCAACAGAGCCAAACCCAGCGGCGAATGGCAGCTCTACGCCGAGAAATTAACTGAGTATAATAAGAAGATTAGAAGGGCAAAGCGGTCTGACTTCAGATGCTTTTGCGAAAACATCACTTCAACTACTTATGCAGCTAGGCTACACAAAGCTATGGCCAAGAGTGGGCCCATCCCCAACATGGCACTTAAGAAACCTGACGGAAGCTACACGGAAGGAGGTGAAGAGAGAGCTAACCTCCTACTTTATACACACTTTCCAGGTAGCATATCTATTGATACGCAAGTAGCTCCGACGAACCCACAATCCTCGCAGGGAAGACTGGGAGACGGCCAAGCTTAGTAATAACAGAACAAAAAATGAAATGGGCTATTGACACCTTTCAGCCTTATAAAACAGCAGGAATAGATGGGATTTTTTCCTGCCCTTCTAAAGAAGGGTCAGGGAAATAGCTACCTCCATCTATTAAACATTACAAGAAGCAGCTTAGCGATGGGATATATACCAACCATCTGGAGAAGAGCGAAAGTTATCTTCATACCCAAAATAGAGGCAAAACTGACTGGGCTAACCCCAAACCATTTTAGGCCTATTAGTCTCACATCGTTCATATTAAAAAACGATGGAGAAAGTAGTGGACAACCATATTAGAGTAAATCATCTACAGGTTAAACCACTGCACGATAGTCAGCATGCATATAGAGCGGGCAGATCCACAGAAACTGCTCTGTACCAGTTAACTGAGCTAATACAGGCAAGCCTGATAGCAAGGAAACAGCACTTTGTGCCTTCTTTTTGGACATTACCAGGGGCGTTTGACAATATACCTCACAAGGTGGTCAAGCGATCTCTTTGAAACAAGAGGGGGTGAACAGTATGATAATTCGCTGGTTTTGGGAAATGCTCTC